TGGGGGGGCTCAGCCTGGAGAAAAGGAGGCTCAGGGGGAATTTCTGGCTCTGCACAACTCCCTGACAGGAGGGGACAGCCGGGGGGATTTGGGATCTGGGAACAGGGACAGGAGGAGAGGGAACAGCCTCAAGTCACACCAGAGGAGACTCAGATGGATATTTGGGAAAATCTCTCCATGGAAAGGACTGTCCAGGCCTGGCACAGCTGCCCAGGGCAGGGGTGGATTCACACCCCTGGAGAGATTTAAAAGCCCTGTGGATGTGGCATTTGGGGACACGGGGCAGTGGTGGCCTGGGCAGTGCTGGGGGAACAGTTGGACTCTGTGTCCTAGAGGACTTTTCCAACCTAAACAATCCTATGCTACAATACTGCAGTTTTTTCCTCCCACTCCTAAATTTACAACATAATATTTACATTCACATTTGATATACCAATGCTGCTTAAAACAATAACGACAACGGAGCCCAGGAACAATTTAGTCGTGATTATAGAAGGAATTTTTGTTACTGCAGATGTTTGTATTGGATTCTGGGTTTGTGATCTTAGAAGGATTTTTTTTTCATTCAAACAAGAAGTAACAGGCCAAGTCTTCCAGTCTGGTGTGATATGGGCTAGTCAGACTCATTAGGAATATTCATAAATCTTATTTTCAGAGGGTCAAAACATGATGCAAGTTCATCAGTTAAATAAGGACAATGCAAGGACAAGAATAAACCCCTCAACACTTGATTACTGATTGGGATTGAAGTGCAAAACTTTTACCAACCAAGTCTCCTACTGTACAAAGAAGGACCCAAGAAAGGTCTAAAAGGAAATAATATCATATAATATCACCATTCCCAAAGAGTTAGTATGGTTCTGTCTGCAACTGCCATGGTGGAAAGGGCAGGGTGAGAAGCAACATCCTGGGTCATGCTTCATTAATCAAACATCAATTTAAAAATCCAGTGGCAAAAATGAATGAATGCTCAGCTGCATTCTGGCTTCAAGCTCAACTTGAAATTTTCAGTGAGTTTGTTGACTTAATTTCTCTAAGTTGGAGAATAAATTGTTCTCTGGGAATACTGTATGCTTTACAAATTGTTTGGATTTAGTTAAATTACCATCCATTTTCCTAAACAGCAGACTTCTTAGATTAAAATTTATAGTCTTTACTCTGGCTAAATTAATCCTATTCACTACATGTATCAAATAGTCCAAAATTTAATTAGCTGTGAGCTCGGTCTCTAAGTTATAATTATTTAATTACTCCAGAATGAAAACATAATCAAAGTAATATATCTCCACAAGGTTTTGGACTGTCCTACAGAGTTATTATACCCAGTATTAATTTTTCTTTTTATTTTTTTTAAAAGTACACTTTCTTCTGCAAAATAAATTAATGCTCCGTTAGCTGCAGACACCACAGTGATGAGCAAAACACTAAAGCCTCCTTAAATAAAACAAAACAGAGAACATCTAGGATTTCAGAAGAAACACCATTTTAAATATTTCAAATCAAATAAAGTAACACGTCAGATTACCCAAATACTACTCTGGGAGTCAAAACCCATAAATCTGTGCTTTGCTTTTTGCATTAGAGATTAGAAAAGTAAAACAAAGCCTTGACTAAGCAAAAGAAATAAACTGATCTAAATCAACCTCAACTCTTCTTTAAATGTCTCTTTCCATAACTCCTTGGAAAGTCAGCAGAGCTCAGAGAAAAGACAAAAACTTGCTGCAGGTATGAGGTCAGGTCAGCACACAAGTTCAGCCTTTCATGTAATCACACATTGCTTTATGGCAGATTTAATCACAGATCCCAAATGTACTGTTGCCTTCACCTACAAAAGTTTAGGTTTATAGTTTCATGCACTGAAGTAGCAGAAAGTACAAACTCACTGAAATCCGAGCTCTTGGGTTCAGAGGAAAATGTCTCCAGGATTGTTTGCTTCTCAAACTTTAATTTGCAGAAGAGAAACATTAGATATGGATATTAAAAAAAAACCCAACCCACACTGTTTTTACTACGTGGCAGTAATGGAAATCCATAAAATTAGTATCATCTGATTTTTATGAAAATCAAGTGAAATGATACCCCAAAGCTAGTAAAAATACTGGCTTAGCTTTCTGTAATAATTATTTCTTTGTACAATGCACTGGGTTCCTTCTTACCACAGGAATTGTAGCATTTCAAGATTCAACCAGACTCTCTGAAACAATGGGGAAAGTTTCAAAACCTTTTTTTATCAGTCAAATTTTATATACTGAAATCCCACAAAGTACATCAAGTAACAAAAGCATGAGGAAAAAAATTGGAGAGAAAAACTAATTAGAATGTGAATTTCCCTCTCCTCACCAGATTTCTTGCTGGGCACATGTTTAAACATGTGCATCATCTAAAGTGATCAGCAGACCATAAAATCCATAAGGACAGGAAATATCCTGCTCTGAGCTGGCAGCTGATGCCTGTGGTTCCCCACCTGGGGAGTGTGGAGAAAGGACATTGGGAGCCACAGATTGCCTGAGCCCTCCTGCCCAGCAACCTCCCCCTCCCAGCTTCACCTGCTGCCAGCCTGAAAATCACCCCCCAAACCCAGCCTGGGCTGGGGAACCTGCACACTAAACACCAAAAAAGGATTTGCAGCCTCTTCTGCAATGACCAAAAGGACGCTGGAGGAGTTTGTGCAGAGAAGCTGTGGCTGCCCCATCCCTGGAAGTGTCCAAGGACAGGAGGGAAAGGGACTGGAGCAACCTGGGATATTGGGAGGTGTCCCTGCCCAGGGAAGGAGATGGGGTTCAAGGTCCCTCCCAAACCAAACCATTCTGTCATCCTGCTCTGTGATTCCCCAACAAATAAACTGACAATTAAATGCCAATCTCCCACATCTTAGGACAGAAATGACACTGTGAGTTTGGCTGGGGAGCTCATTTACTTGGGCAAAATACTGCTGTAGCTATTATATTATTACAGCATAACTTCTATTTATCTAAGCACCTTATAATAAAATAGCAATAAAAATGCATTTAGCACAAAAGCTCTCTGGCTTTGAAATATGACAAAAATGGCATAAAGAAATAAAATGTAATAATTGTCTCTCAGGCAACAGTCCAGAATGGACAATAGGCAAACTTTTACAGCAATTTTTGCCTCTGAACACTGGCTTTTACTCTTTCAAAAGGTGCTGTGGCCTCACAGAATAAAACACAGACAGGACTGGGTGGGAAAGAACCTTAAAGCTCATTTCACTCCAAACCTGCCACGGGCAGGGAAAATTCCATGTCCAAAGAAGCAGCTTCTTTCCAAACCCTGCCCCATCTTCAGCAAGAGAAGGGGAGGTGGCAGAACACCCCAACATGAGAAATTCAGCATCAGAGGGCTCCAAACAGCCTGGTTTATTAAAGGAGCTCCACTGACACGGGGAGATGATAATAATAACAATGATAATAATGATAACAGCAGGGTGGATTTTGCAGTGTGAACAGGACAGGCCCATGCAGAGCTGAGGAGCAGCAGGACTCGAGGCACAGGTAGAGCTCCAGGTGAACCTGCTGAGGGCCATGCTGGGCACAATCAGCCCCAGCACTGAGCCCAGCCTAACAAGACACGAAGCAGTGCAGGCACCTGCACTAAACCAGCACGAGAGAGAGGCAGGAGCACCACAGATGGTTCCTTTGCTTGGGGAAAGAATGGAAAAGCAGAACTTGTGTCCTGTAAAAAAAAAAAAAATTCTTCTGTGCAGGGACCAAATTCTGGCCTGAGTAGTTTTCCCACGTGTATAAAAGTAGGATGAAAGCACCTTCTTCCCTCAAAAAGCTGTTTTCTTTGCAGCACATACCTATCCAAAATACATCACTGAAGAGGTATTAAAAATTAACGTTCACATGAAGGTTTTCTATTTGACCTGCATTTTCATCAGTGTCAGGTTGTGTAAAAACAAGCCAGGATCATGCCCCCAAACTGCTACAGTTGTTTGCAGAAGCTAAAAGTGAGCTGGTATTTCATTAGTTCAGCAACAAAAGATTTTATGAAAAAGGAGCTGAGGCAGCCTGGCAGCATCCCACATCCTTCAATTGAATCCAATCAAACTCCAGTTCACAAGAAAAATGAACAGGTAATATCTATCTGTCTAAATGGCCATCCCATTAACCTGAACTCCATCAGAAGCCACAGGGAATAATCTGCACACCCTGCTGTGGCATCCTCTGCTCTAATGGAGCAAGACTGGCCAACTGGGGCATCCCAGGACAGCCCAGAAATGCCAGAGGCTTCCCAAGATGTGAATCCCTTCTCTTGCTGAGACATTCCAGTATTGAAAACTGGGGTGTAATTAAAGGTGCAGATGCAAATGTACTTTAAACATGCAGCCAGGTCAGAACCAGACTTGAGTTCTGTCCTCCCACTGCCCATGGCTAATGCACAGCCCATCCCTTTGGAATGCAGGGTGTTTGAATTTATCCTTTCCTATAAGGAACTGTACTCCTGTGCCCACTGATGGCACACCTTAAACTGGATTGCAAAGATAAACAAGGTAGTTACTAAAGTCTCCTTGAATTTTTAATTTGAATCTTGGCAATTTCGAGATGGAGAATCTCACTTTCCTTCTACTGAAAGGAAAAAAAAACCCTCGTTTTGTTTCCAATTTAACAAGGAGAGGAATGAGGGCAACACCATCACTTTGGGAAATATAACTCCTTATAATGTGGCTCATCCATTGAAAACTCAGCCTTGAGGTACATGTGATTAATGTAATTAATGGCACCTTTTCATGTACTTAACTTTAGATTCTCTGCTCTACCAGCAACTACCTATGATATGAAGAGGAAAACAGTGCCATATGTTCTTTCAACATACCCAAAATTGAAATATTTTCCATTTCTTTTTACCGTAAGAATTCAGTGCCAGGGACAGAAAAAACATCATTCTGAAGGAGAAAGCAATTTTCCTACCCTACTCCATTATGGTCCAGACTTTCATACCTTTTCTCACACTTAAAATGAAATCAACTTCAGACGATGGTGTTTTTATAGCCAAAAAAAAAAGTCTTTCTTGTACTATGTGTATTGAAACCCCCTAATTACAGAACTGTTAGAAAATGACAAATGCTTGGACAATTCTGACTATTCCCAGGGTACCCCCAGGCAGTCAAAACTGCTCTTTCTTGTGTCAAGAAATGTGAAAAAATAGGTGGTTTTCTGATTGCACAGAGAGTTGCTGAAAGATCAAAGCATCACCACCCACGGAGAGCAGCAGGTCAGCAAATCCTGCTCCTCAGTGAGAGTCTCTCTCCAAGGGGAAGATCCCCAGGGATGGATGATTTTTTTAAACCACTGAAGCAATCACGACGTGGGGAATCACTGCAGGTACCGCAGCAAAATGTCATTTTGCAACAGCCCAAAAACCCAGGTGAAGTGAAGGAAAAGCTGCATTTTCAGGCTGAAGGTGAAGCAAGGAGACTGGAGAAAAAGTGAAGACAAAACACTCCACTTGCTAACGAGCTCTCTTGCCTTGTGGGTGAACTCGTGCCAGACACAACTAAAGAAAATAAGTATTTTAAGTTGCAACAGATCAAAACAGATTATAGCATGAAATTTATTTTCAGGAGGGGGAATATCCCTGTCATCTGTAAAAACACATATGGCAACGTTGAGGGGGTTTTGGCTTTTTTTTTAATGTGAAGTGTGAATTTCCTTGTAAACCACACATGCACTCCAAGGACTGATTTACTGTCCCCTTCCTGCCTTCCAGCAGCCCCTCCCCATGCAGAGCTTGTGAACATGCTGAGAGCACAGACTTTGCTGACAAGACATTGCTTTTCACAGGCCAGTGATTTTTGTTTCACTGCAGACACATTTACCTGCCAAAGGCCAAGTTCTCACTTGGCATAAATCAGCACAGCTCCTCGCTCAGCCACCTAATTCCACGTGCAGGCTTTAAATAAAGGCTCAGGATGCCTCTCCCAAAGGGAACAGTTACCTCCAGGAGTTCATCCCCCAAAGTGCATCCAGGAAAAAGTTTACCTGGAGGAGCTCATCCCGCAGGAGTTCAACTCCAGAAGATCATCCAGGACACAATTTTACCTCCAGGAGCTCATCCCCCAAAGGGCATCCAGGACACAATTTTACTTGGAGGAGTTCATCCCCCAGGAGTTCAACTCCAGGAGCTCATTCCCAAAGTACATCCAGGAAAAAAATTTTACCTGGAGGAGTTCATCCTCCAAATGCATCCAGGACACAATTTTATCTCAAGGACTCCATCCCCAAAGTGCATCCAGGACACAATTCTACCTCCAGGAGTTCATCCCCAAAAGAGCATCCAGGAAAAAGTTTACATGGTGGAGCCAATCCCCCAGGAGTTCAACTCCAGGAGTTCATCCCCCAAGTGCATCCAGGAAAAAATTTTACCTGGAGCTCATCCCCAAGTGCATCCAGGTCACAATTTTACCTCCAGGAGCTCATCCCCAAGTGCATCCAGGACACAATTTTACCTCCAGGAGCTCATCCCCGATGTGCATCCGCCCGTCCCGTCCCGCGGGGCCGTCGGGGTTGATCCCAACCACGAAGATGCTCATCCTGGAGCGGTCCTTGTTGCCAGCCAGGCTGAGCCCCAGCCCATTCTTGTCTTTCTCCAGCTCAATAATGTGCAATTCTCCCGGGAGATCTGCATATCTCTGCCTGATTTTTTCTAAAAAGGTCAAAACGTAAAGGGAGTTAGAGTATGAAGTGAGTTACATGCAGATGTTCAAGAACACGCACAAATATGCCAGAAATTTATGGCTTCTCAGCAAATAAGTGTTTTTAACAGAGGTCTTTTCAGCACAGACTCTAAAATACCATTTGCTCCATGTGTATCAGTCACACAGGAAAATGCAGCATCAGCTGCAAATATTGTTCACATTAAACCCATACTATTTTAATTATTTGTACAACAGCCTGGTTCCAAACCAAAACTTTTCTGAAAGGAGGGTAAACAAGGAAATTCCAGAGGCACCTTTACCTTACAAAACCTATCAAATTCAGGAAACTCTCGTAAAGTTCGAGCTGGTTAATTAACCACTGAGGGAAACTGAAGCACTTAATGGCTCAAACACCACTGCAAGTTCACATCTCAAGGTAAAACCTTCTCCTTCTTCCTGGTGACTCAGGAATCTTCTCAGCACGCTCTGCTGAACTTGACGGGCTGATTACGCAGAGCAGATGTCAGAGACAATGGAGATGAGTGATTGCATTTTTAAATGCAGCCTCACCTGATATTAAGGTAGTTATTTGTCTTTCATCTGCATTTCAAGCATTCCTGTGACAGGGCTTGATGTATTTCCAAAGTTATTCGGAGCACACAGCGTGGCTGGGGATGCTGACAGGTTAATCTGAGTGTGTTTTCACCACTGGCATACAAACATCTGTCACCTTTGCTGGGGAGGGCAGCTCTTTCCTGTCTGCTTTCCCTTTTCAGATTTTAAACCACCACCTGCACCCTTCAGCTGAGCCACACATTTGAAAAAGCAAATCAAAGTATATCCCTGTGGCTGGGTGTCACCTTTAGCACACAGCCCAAGGTGAAAGAAACTGCTGCATTATGCATGAAAAGGAGAAATAAGGGATATTATATGTTCAACCATATCCCTGAGTCAGCAGCAGGAGCTAGATCAATATTAGCTACCACCACTCTCCTGGGGAAGCATATTTTAATAGTATGATTTAACTGCTGTAGTGAATGTTCCCATGACAACAAGAAAGAGGGAAAAAAGCTGGGCAAGGTGAGAGGGAGGCAACCAAAAGTGAATAAAAACTGCTGAGAAGAAAGAAGACGAGGTAGAGATGCTCCTCCCACCAGCCCCTGTGCTGCCAGGGTGATTGAGCTGAACATGGGACATTCCCAGTGGCTCTTCTCTCCAAGAATTCTCTTCCTGAGTAATTGTTCCAGCTGCAGCAGCCCCTTGTGCCTTGGCAGAGCCCACTGGGACATGGAGAGCATCTCCAGCCCCAGCTGCACCCAGGAGAATTACCCACACTGAGAGCAGCACAGGCACCAGCCAGCTCTCCCCTCGCTGTATTTACGAGCTCAAAATCCCCAGTGCCTGAGCCTAAAACCCCCAGAATGTACAGCCAGGGTGAGATGTTATTCCTGGAAAGCTGCTGAAGCCCTACAGAGGTCTGCATAAAATAAGAATATCACAAAAAATAATTTAGAAAGCTCATTTGTTACTATCAATTCTATGCCCCCCAAAAATTCCTGTAACTGTGTTAAATGGCAATCCATGCAGCTGCATGGTTCTTTAATGTATTTCTTAACTAATGGGGTCAACATGTAATTAGAGATGTGGTTTGCTACATGGATTTGGAAATTGTTTTGTCTTCTTAGTAACAGAACAGCAAGACAGGAATGGTCTCAAAAAATGGTGTTTCTGAAAGCAAGGAAGATACAGCCACACTTGGTTTGTTCACAGCACTGAAGTTTAATTTCTTTGCCCACAAAAGGCCAAGTCCAGACCTGAAGAGCTCTAAGACATTTGCTGCCCACCACAATTAAACAAATAACTCATAACAGCACAGCAAGGAGCTGCAGCACACCCCAGAACAGGGCACCAGCAAAAAAGGTTTTTTCTTACTGATTGCAATTTTGTGGCTAAAACTAAGAACGGGAGCTGGAGGGCTGCTGTCCATCACTCCCTGCCACAGCTCCCTCCACTGCTTGTTGTACATGGGTAACACATCTCACTTCTGTTTGCCAGGAGCAAGGAACACGTCCAAAGCAGCATTTTAACAACTCACAGCCCGGTGCACAGGCAGGAGCTGAAGGAGCAAGGAAAACACACACACACACACACGTTTAAATGCAGTGCAGATGAGGCTGCACTTCTTCAGAGATTGCCTCAAAACTCATTCCTGGCTTGTCAGTAAAACCACCTGAAATTCCCCAGCATGAGCAGCCCTGTGACACTGCAAACACACATTGCTCCTGCCTCTGAGACCGAGGGTAATCTGTAATTCCACCGTGTTTCCTCCCCAAAAATGAGTTTTCTCACATGGGGGGAATGTTGGCAGTTCAGAACCACGTGTATGTTCCTCTCTGAGCTGGGCTGAAACGAAAAGTGAGCTTTATTCCTTCAAAAATCAGTAGTTTGGGCAATTGCCTGGGATGGGACAAAGCCTCACTAAAATTCCTGGTCTGCCAGCGTTGGGCCAGGTCTGGAAACTTGGTGAGTTGAGTCCCAGCTCTGTGCTCCAGCTGTGCCAAAATGCCCCACTGTGGGAACAAATTTTGAGTAAATTAAAAATTTACCCGGGCAAGAAGCAGAGACCAAGCCCAGGGTTGGTTGCTTTATTTGTAAAGGGGCTGGGTTGTTTTCTTTGGGTTTTTTTTTAAAGCATCTTCCCTATTGCAATATTTGTTGGAAAAAATCCTTACTTATAACAGAAGGAAGCCTCTGTGTGGAGTAAGCCCTTGATTCTAAATTATCACATTCATTTCCAAAGCAGCTATTCTGTGATTTGAAATGGCTGAGGTGACAAGAGGTAAAACAGAGGGAGACCAGGGAGGGAGGATGAGGATGCTCCGAGCCAGCCCCATCTCCATCCTGGCAGGAGGATCTGCTGTCCTGGAAAAGGGACAAATAGAGACCCCTGCTTTTAAAATCCACCCTCTCCTAGCATGGGCTGCCTCCTCCCTGGCCAGCAGAAGGTTCTGGCTCTTCCCAGTCCCATCTCCTGCAGCTCAGCCAGGAAGAGCTGTCCTGGCCAGGCAATAAAATGACAACAAATTCCCAGCGGTGCTGCCTCACTCATCCAATCTGCATACAAATATCCTCTGAGCATCCAGCTGACTTCCTACAGCACTGCCATGGTAGTCTCACTTTGCCTTTTAATAAGGATCTCACAAGATTATCTTAAACAAGTATTTACTGCTTAAACAAACCTGCATCTAAGGCATCCTCTTTTTAATGCCTTTTTTCAGCTGTTTTTTCTCCCCTCCAGCTGGTATCAGTTTTCAGCTCCCTGCCTAGGGTTGGGGAGCCAGCTAGCATCTGCTTTTGCAAAGAATTCCATTATCTGCATTCATTACCAGATACTTTACACGAGGCAATTGTAATTCTGTTGTTGCTGCATCACACATGGGACACGAATCTCTTGTTTTGGCACAACTCGGGGCTGTTTCCACATTCGGTGACAATATGCCCATCACAACTTCTGCAAACACATCTCACCAAGGATATTTCACCAGCTAATACTGCAGCCAGCTTCTCTTAAAAATACCACGCAGATGTAGCACGAGCCAAAAGCACGAGTAAACGCTTTAGTGATCACTCCTGCAATGGTATTTCCCAGTTATATTAGCAGACAATTACATTTCAAAGGGGAAACCCTGGAAATGGGAGGCAACTGCTCTCAAACAATCTACTGTTATGCTGCTGCATGTTTCCCTGCCTCAGCCACTATTCCTATTATATTAAACAGAGAGATGAAAGAAATAAATGGGGACAATATGGTCAGGATATTGGAGTTTGCAACGATCCAGCCCTGCAACAAATACACAATTTATCACCAATGCCACAGCTAGACACTGCTTCTCAGGAAGAAAAAAGGCTCTTTAAATGACAGATATATACTTATATATATATGTATAGATAAATAGATAGATATAAAGCACTTGCAAAGGGCTGAAGAGCCTGTTTCCCAAACCTACTGAAACGTCCAGTTAAATGAGCTGAAAGGGAAGAGGTGTTGCTTTGGAAAATTGGTGTCTTTTCGTGATGTAAATGAGAGTCTATCCAGAAAAGGTGAAAAAGAGGAAAGAAAAAAGCTCTGGATGACTCAGCGAGGTGATTTGGTTTAGTACCAAATGCTCAATATTAAAAATGTCAAGGCAAAAATATAAAGAAAAGGGGGAAAAGACCAGAAAGAGAGACAACAGCTGATATTTGAATATAGAAGGTGATGCTGAGGATTTTCCATCCCTCTTGTGTCGCCTCAGATCTCTATTAACAGCATATGCTGGCTTTTGGAGATCTCATTTATCAGCCTGGGCTCGTTCTAATGCATTTATCTCCCATTTTCATCCCACAGCACAAAACCTGGTTACAGCCCTGGCCCTTCCCAGCACAGCTCAGGCAGTGCTGCAGCAGCACAGCTCCTCACTGGGTAGTGACAGACATCAGAATGCAGGCAGCATCCACTGCACAGAGCCAACCCCGCATATCAAGCAACCAATTCCCTTCTTGATTTCACTACAAACATTAAAAAAAATTAATGTAGGAAGTCCCTTGAAAGCTAACCCTAAAGCTGTGAGGGCAGCACGTCTAATTTACTGATTACAATTTACAAGAACCTAAATAAGCATATTGAAGGGACCATAATTGAACAAATGGGGTTTAGAATTCTCCCACTACTAATAATATAATAAGCTTATTGTTTTAATCTTCCCACTAGCCCTCTATTCAGCTCCAAGGAGGCAGAGAGTTCTTCAAACCTTATCTCAAAAGTGATGCACTCATCTGTTTTCATAAGCTTTATAATAGGGTATTTCTATAATGCTTTTCTAAATTCCATTAAGTCATTACAATTCTTCTCTCAGTGGTCAGCAAGAATGAGAAAAATAGGACAGTTGTATTAAAAAGTCTAAATGGAAGGGCCAGAGATCCTGTTCTCAGCAGTCCCCCTCCCTCAGGTGATGAGAGGTGTATCCTT